AAGGTAACAGACTAAGAGCTCTGAAAATATAGTCCTCCATTGGCTCAAAAATATTAAAGATAAAGTGGCTCCTCTAAAAATAAAGGGCTCAGAGACAAGATATAAAATTCCAAAGAACGGACATCAATCTCAGATTTTAAATGGGCTGATAGAGCTGAAGAAATAAATGGACTGGAAAAAAAATTCAGAATGGAAGCCACGTAACCACGTAACCGCAAAAATAAAACACAGTGTAAACTATAAACAAAAGCAGAGAGCAAACAAGGATATCACTCAAAATTACTAAAAGGAACCACAAGAGGAACAAAGATACACAAATGATAAGAAAACATGCTAGATTTAGAAGACAAAGGAGATAAATAACCATATGGTTCCTAAAAAGTGAGCATTATTCAAAATACATGCAAAAATATTAAAGGATCTTAAAATTTTACTGATACAAAGACAGGCTTAAAGCAACAGACATTATACCAGGAAAGTGACATAAAACAGCCAATGCCCATGCAACATTGCTAAAACTCTAAACTTCAAAAAGAATAAGAGAACCCCTTGGGCACATCCAATGGAAAAAGCTAGTCAAAGGCAAAAGAAAGAAACATTCACCCAGCCTCAGCTTTCTCCTCCAGAAATATCCAGTGCTAAAAAAGAATGGGAGCAATGTCTGAAGAAATTTTGAGGGCAAGAAAGTGTGGCACAAGACTTTGGTACTCGGCCAAATTGTCCTTCAAATACAAAAGCAAGGAACAGCTATGCTTAAGTGTAAGACCTCAAGGAACACAGTACCTACCCAGGTCTTCTCTAAATAAAACATTGTGGCTGGCACGGTGGTTCAGCCCTGTAATCCCAGCACTTTGGGAGGCCAAGGCAGGTGGATCACTAGAGCCCATGAGTTTGAGACCAGCCTGGGCAATATGGCAAGACTCTGTCTCTACAAAAAATGCAAAAATCAGCCAGGTGTCTGGCCGCAGAGTTTGAGGTTACAATGAGCTGTGATTGTGCCACTACACTCCAGCCTGGGTGACAGTGACACTCTCTCTCTAAAAAAAAAATAATAATAATAATAAGTTAACAATATTATTTCTAAATGGTAAGATTTAGGGTGAGTTTTTTCATTTCTTCTTTGTACTTTTTTGTATTGTTTGACTTTTTTTGTAATGTGAATGTATCACCTCTTTCCAAACAAGTCACTTTTTAATAATAAAGAAAAATCTTATTGCTGACTTTCTTGGTTTTGCGCTTCTCCATCCATTCCTGCCAGGCAAAATCTAAACTTAAGTCTATGCACTTATTGTTATTCCTATTATTGCCCACTTCACAGGGACAAAACTAAAATCCAGGGCAGTTAAGTCATTTGCTCTAGGTCACAGAGCCAGGATGCGACCTCAGACAGCAAAACTTCATAACATGTAAGCTGACAGAATTACTGAAGTTCATTTGGTTCATCTCATTTTTTTCATTCACTTAGTAGACCTCTGTGGGCCTAACTCAGTGAGGAGAAGTGCTATCTGCAATGAAACAGCTATACTCATGCATGCCTGGTTGATTACCTACAATAAAACTCTTTTAGAAAGTGACAAAGTGAAATTCTGCCTCAAAAGAAAAAACGTCTTAAAAATGCTCATTTAGTGAGCCAAGGTCACACCACTGAACTCCAGCCTGGGTGATACGGCAAGATTCCGTCACAAAAAAGTAATAATAATAAAATGCTTAAAATCTGTAATTCTGTTTCTAGGTATCTAACCTAAGAAAGCAAATGTAAAGACAGGGAAAGGCATATAAATGAGGAAACACATAATCTAACAACAAAATAACAGGACAATAAGGCATAATAGAATCATATAATTGATCATCATGCAGGCATTAAAATGCACATTATGGAGAAATACTAAGGAACAGGGGAAAATACTAAGTGAAGTCAGCCCACTACATTCCTCATTCAACACCAACTGCACTCAGGCATTCACCCCTATTCCCTCCCAAAATCCCACTAAAATGATAAACATTATTTTACAAAGGCAGACTCCCATAAAACAAGCCAGAAGAGAGAGACAGCAGAGAAAACAAGAACATCAGTACTATTTTAGAAGAAAGAAAGTGAACTGAAGAATCTTAACTCACTTGGAAGAAGGCTGAAACTGAAGGCTGCAGAGGGAGATGACAAGCAGCAGCACACCAATTTCAAGACAAATCCCAGGAACTGCAAGAATCAAATACCAGTGAAAACAGATATGGCTGCACACAAGAAGACTGGCTGAGAATCTGAAAAATCTCTGATATGGTTTGGATACTTGTTCCCTTCCAAATCTCATGTTGAACTGTGATTCCCAGTGCTGGAGGTGGGGCCTGGTAGGAGGTGACTGGATCATGGGGTGGATCCCTCATGAGTGGTTTAGCACCATTCCCTGGGTGATAAGTGAGATCTTGCACTGAGTTCACAGTCCGGTTGTTTAGAAGTGCATGGCCCCTCCCACTCTTGCCATGTGACACAGCCTGCTCCCTCTTTGCCTTCCACTATGATCAACTGGAAGCTTACTGAGGCCCTCACCAGAGGCAGATACCAACGCCATGCTGCTTGTACAGCCTACGGAACTGTAAGTCAGTTAATCCTCTTTTCTCTATAAATTACCTAGCCTTGGGCATTCCTTTAAAGCAACGCAAAAGTAACACAATATCCTACCCCATGCAGCCAGGCACCTACCCTTTCCCTAGCCTGGCAGAAGCAGGAGGTATCTCTTTTGTGGAGGCTGAATCTGGGAGGACCTATGCTCAAAGGGCCCAGAACCCACCAAAGGTAGGAATAAAGTGCTGTACTGAAAATGAGGGATTAAGTCAAAGTTTACACACCAAATTATAAGGCCTTCCCTTCCCAGTCCACTTCTACAGCTCTTATCACAGAATTACGGCAGCAAAGATCACACCCCACAGTGGAACCATGAGAGAAGTCTCTGTAGAAACTCGAGAACCCGGCAGAAAAGACCTACAGACACTGATATGGTTTGGCTGTATTCCCACCCAAATCTCATCTTGAACTGTAGCTCCCATAATTCCCTTGTGTTGTGGGAAGGACCCAATTAACAGAGATAGTTGAATCATGGGGGCAGTTTCCCCCATACTGTTCTCTGGTAGTTAATAAGTCTCATGAGATCTAATGGTTTTATAAGAGGAAACCCTTTTCACTTGGTTCTCATTCTCTTCTCTTGTCTGCCACTATGTGAGTCATGCCTTTTACCTTCTGCCATGACTGTGTGGCTTCCACAGCCACATGGAAACATAAGTCCATTAAACATCTTTCTTTTGTAAACCGCCCTGGCTCAAGTACGTCTTTATCAGCAGCATGAAAACCTACTAATATGGACACCAACATCTATGGGTCCCCAAGAAAAAAGACGTGTTCCAAATGAATCACACAAGGGAGAGTCCACCAGTGTACATGCCCCACAATACCAGTGGATTCCAGCCAGCTTTTACGCGCCTCACTCTTAAGTATAAACAGCTGGAGATAACCAAGTATTTTAGGAAAACTTCCAACATGAAAGATGGGCTCTAACAGTTGAAGAAAAATCTAGAATTACTATCCTAAGAGAAAAATGACACGTGGTGGATTGTTCTTTACACTGTAGGCTTATTCATCACATTTCTTCCTACTGAGGATGCCTTGGTGTCTAGGAACAGAGACCCACACAACTTCTCCCTCTTCCCACAGCAGCCAGTATTTTGCAGGCACTACCAGTGAGTTAAATCTCATCTTCCATTCTAGTAAGCAAGAAGATAGAACCTAAATTTGAAAAAGAAATTGCACATAACATTTTATGGCATGCATCGGCTAAGTAAGAACTGAAATCCATTTAAATTCTCTAAGTGAATTATTTCACAACTTGAAGATAAACACAAGAAAAAAAGGACTACAAATATTTGAAGGTAGGTGCGATGGTTGATGTCTGTAATTCCAGCACTTTGGGAGGCCGAGGTGGGTGGATCACCTGAGGTCTGGACTTCCAGACCAGCCTGGCCAACATGGTGAAACCCTGTCTCTACTAAAAACACAGAAGTTAGCTGGGTGTTGTGGCACATGCCTGTCATCCCAGCTACTTGGGAGGCTGAGGCAGGAAAAATTGCTGGAACCCAGGAGGCAGAGGTTGCAGTGAGCCGAGATCACGCCACTGCACTTCAGTCTGGGCGACAGGGCAAGACCCTGCCTAAAAAAAAAAAAAAAAAAAGGAAAATGATTATCTTAGGTACCAGGAATTGGCGTGTGGAGAAACTGGCAGGGGGCAGCTAATTTCCATTACAATAAGTGCTTGATAATTTTTTCTGAAATGTTTACATGTTACTTTTATTTCAAAATTAAAGCCAGCTACACAACCACAGGTGCAGTGTGATATGACAGTCTTTTAACAAAGGCTAGATGAAAAGAACAGAAAGAAAACTGCTGGCGGTGGTTATCTTTGAGGGGAGGGATTACAGGTGTCTTATTTTTTACTTGTATCTTTTTGTTTTCTGCACTGCGCATGAGTTGCTTTTAAATACAGATTTCAAGCACCTGTGTTTTAGGATGAGCACGAGAGGTTCTCTATGACCTGGACTGATTCCACCCAGTCTTTTAGGAATCTGTTGAAAAATGAGTGTGCACTGAGGGAGCTGAGGAGCAAGTGAAGATGACTCTCAAGGAATCCATCTGAGGGCTAGGGGGGTAGGTCAAGGGAAGGAAGGGCAGGGGAAATTGTAGTTGTGTTTTTTTTTAGAGGCAGGGTCTCGCTCTGTCACCCAGGCTATAGTACAGTGGTGTGATCTCCTTTCACTGCAACCTCTGCCTCCCAGGTTAAAGCGATTCTCCTGCCTCAGCCTCCCAAGTAGCTGGGACTTCCAACGCATGCTACAACGCCCAGCTAATTTTTGTATTTTTAGTAGAGACAAGATTCCAGCATGTTGGCCAAGCTGGTCTTGAACTGCTGACCTCAGGTGATCCGCCTGCCTTGCCTCCCAAAGTGCTGGGATTACAGGCATGAGCCACTGCACCCAGTCTAGGAGAAGCTTTTCTTTTACACGCTTTCGCTTTTTAGGACGGTAGGGGCCACGCCCGACGTGCAGTGATGTGAAGGTGGCGTAAAGGTTACGCAAAGTGCCGTAAAGGTTACGCAAAGTGCCGTAAAGGTTACGCAAAAGTGACGCAAAAGCGGCGCACGCCAAGGCTGTTTGGAGCCTGACACTCAAACATGGCAGCACCATCTTCTCCGGGAAGGACGGCCAACCAGGCAGACCAGACGTGCACTTTCCTCCTCAAAAAGTCTGGACGTAAAGGGGCTGCAGGCCTCAGAAAGCGCCCGGCATGCGACCCCGAACGGAGAGATAGCAGCAGCAGCGGGGATGAGAGTGACGTGGTGGCTAGGCCCCCGCGGGTGGCACCGAGGCCCCGGGGCCTCCATGGCTGGCAGAAGGCGGCTCACTGCGACCTGAGGGGCGAGGAGGCAGCACCCGAGAGCCTCGGCGTGGTATACAGGTCCACCCGCTCGGCGAAGCCGGTGGGGCCAGAGGACATGGGGGCCACCGCTGACTTCGAGCAGGACACCGAGAAGGAGCGTGATACACAGGCCATCTTCAAGCGCAGCCAGCGGGTGCAGGAGGCACTGCGGGGCCGGGAGCATGACCAGATCTACCGGGGAATCCACAACTACCCAAGGTACCTGAAGCCCAAGGACATGTCCATGGGCAACACCTCCTCAAGAATGGCGAAGAAGGGCCCCATCCGTGCGCCAGGGCACCTGCGCGCCACCGTGCGCTGGGATTACCAGCCCGACATCTGCAAGGACTACAAGGAGACCGGATTCTGCGGCTTCGGGGACAGCTGCAAATTCCTCCACGACCGTTCCGATTACAAGCACGGGTGGCAAATTGAACAGGAGCTGGAAGAGGGCCGCTACGGTATCTGCGAGGACGAAAACCATGAAGTGGGAAGCGAGGAAGAGGAAATACCATTCAAGTGTTTCATATGTCGCCAGGCCTTTCAAAACCCAGTGGTCACCAAGTGCAGGCATTATTTCTGCGAGAGCTGCGCGCTGGGGCATTTCCGGGCCACCCCGCGCTGCTACGTCTGTGACCAGCCGACTGGTGGCATCTTCAACCCGGCCAAAGAGCTGATGGCGAAACTGCAGAAGCTTCGGGCTACAGAAAGTGGGGAAAATTCCCATTTCACAGAAGACCCCGATGAGGGTAAAATTCCCATGGCTTAGGTTTCCCATAATTCTCACACTTAAAAATACACTTTGTTGTTTTTTAGGAAAAAAGAGATGAGAAAGACTCAAGTCTTTCAAGACACTGGGGAGAAGCGGCCTGTTGAGTAAGATTAGAGGTGACAGCTCTCCTGTAATCCCACTCCTGGGTATGTAACCAAAAGAACTGAAATCCGGATCTCAGAGAGGTATTTGCATTCCCATGTTAACTGCAGTGTTACTCGCAAAAGCCAAGAGGTGTAAACAACCCAAGTGTCCATGGATGGATGAATGGACAAACACAGTATCATACATACATACAGACAGCCTGAACAGGAAGGATATCCTTTTAAAGATTTAAACGGATCCTTTTAAGAATCACATGCTACAACTTGAATGAACCTTGAAGACGGCACTGTGCTAAGTGAAAGAAACTAGTTACAAAGAGACAAATATATTGTATGATTTCACTAATATAAGGTATCTAGGGTTGTCAAAATTACATAAAAAGAAAGTAGAATGGTGGTTTCCAGGGGCTAGGAGGAGCAGGAGTGGCAAGTTGTTTAAAATGGGCACAGAGTTTGAGCTTTGCAAGAGGAAAAACTTATAAAGCTCTGTTACACATCAATATGTATATAGTTAATACGAGTGAACACTTAAAAATGGTTAAGAGGGTAAATTTTATGTTTTGTACTACAATTAAAATTTTTTTTTCAAAAAAGCTAAAACAGAACAGGTATCTGAGACAGGAGGAATGACGGAACCAAGACTGGGAGGAATGGGAGAGGATGGGGTTCAAGAGTTAGTAAAAGAGCACATAAGGGATATCAGTTAAGAACCAAGGAGGGGAGGAGTTGACAGAAGAATATCCACTCTTAAGTTCTGATTTGATTTAATTTGGCTGATGTTAACATCCTCTCACTTAAAATGGCAACATATTCCTCTCCCAAGACAAACACCAGCAGATCTGCATTGAGTTCCTCACAGCTGAGTTCCTTACAAGGAACTGACTCAGATTATGTAAATTTTCATAAAAGCCTATCTCACATCTCAACTTTGGCTGTGAATTCCTTGAAGGCTGAAACCATGTCTCACATACTTCCTGTTTTTTAATGGCCAACAGGTATCTCAATAAAAAGTCAGTCAGTGGAAAGTCAATCAAACCAAGCAACCTAGCAGTTGGCTACCCAAGCACCTGCCGCAGAGCGAACTTCAGCAAAACTTTCCACTTCACTTTGACCTTGAACCACACCCATCCACCCACCCACCACCATGGCCAGGTTCTAGTCACAAGCAGAGAAGTGGTGAGGGCACAGACCCAGGAGTGAGACAGGATTCAAGTCATAGTTCTACCAGTTACAGCTGCATGAGCCTTGGGTATGTTACTTTACCTCTCTGTGCCTCAGTTTCCTCATACGTAGTATCTATCTCACAGGGTTGTTTTGAAGTGAAAACTAGCAAAGTATTTAGAACAGTGCCTGATATATAGTATGTGCTGTATACATATAATTCAAGCAGAGAAAATGGAACTTGATAGTCGATAAGGCAGACATTTCAAGTGTTCCATAAAAGTGAGCCATTTATTCTGGCATTTCACATAGAGCTTTCTCTAAGAATTGTCCTTGCCAAAGCTAACAACACAAAGCTTGTGTACAATGACTTAACTGGGCCCTCCCCCTAAGTCCCTTCATTTTTTGTCAGTTCTGTCAAAGGGCTATTTTATTCACTTTCAAGCCTTCCAAAAACATTTGGAATCTGCACAAAAGAAGAAATATGAAACTTTCGGGCACTCTGAAGCAGAAACTAAGCTCCGGCTCCAGGATTTTCCTCGCAAGGCTCACTTGAGTTTCTTTACAATGATTCATGTGTGTTTTAGACCTCCCCCCCATAGACACCAGACTCAGCTACACCTGTGAACCTTGTCAACAAGTGCTCCGAGTCACCAACCTTTTGAAAACATTTCAAATATACACTAAGATATATAGTTCTTATTCCATTTTTAAAATGACAGAATAAGGTTCATGATCGATCATTTGCAAAATTAAGCAGAAAGGTGATCACTGCTAAGCGTTGCTAAATTTGGCAATTTGGTTTACTAACAGAGTGTTAAAATCTGCTAGCATTTTTGGCCAGTTTCCTTCCAGTCTTTTCTCTGTATATTTTTCACATTAATATATGAAACAAACATTCTGGAGTTGGAAGGAAAGAAGCAAGCAGGACTGCAGGGAGTGCACACATTCCCTGGGAGCTGAGTCCTTCCCATCACCACACTCCAAGGTCACAACGCTGGAGCGACCCCTCAGTCTTTTGCTGAAATAGCAGAGAACAGGGACGAGGGCAGTTCCCCACCAGCACTGCACCACCTTACAGAGCACACTGCTGGGGAATTGAAGTGTGAGGCCAGCTGGCTCTCAAAGTCAGCACCGTGGTTACCGGCACTTTATCCTGTCTGGAGCGGGTCCCACCACATCACACCCCGACCTCGATCCTTTCTGTCAGAAGAACACATCAGCCAGGCTGCAGTTAAGCAACAACTGACTTGACCTTTTTTCTGTTCACTTTAGGCACACGTAATGGTTATTAAGTCCTTCTGAATCAACATGAGCAATGTGAGAAAAATATGGCAAAACCAAACAATGCTCTGATGTTTTCATTAACTTGCATGGACTCACGGAGGCAGCTCCGGTCCCCCACCCCATGACTGCAAGTTTCTGGTTAGGGCTTCTGAAATCCTGAAAATGCCTCACAGGCCTGCACTCCAGGGTCACAAACCCCCTAGGATTCCAAAGACTCCAGGCAGAGAGGCAAAAACCTAGAGCACATGAAAATCAAAACCTGAACACATTGTACTTAGATTAATATCTTGAAATATACAAAATTCCTAAGGAATTTTCATAAGTACCACCTAAAATTGAAGAAAACAGGAACATTTTCCTGTTGACTTTTTCTGTGTGCCAACTGCCCATAAAAATTCCTCTCCTGTTTTGCAAGGACAGAACTCTCAAGAACAAATGACCTAATTAAACCTGAGATTTCCTGGCTGAGAGCTATGTAGAAGGCTGAAACGCACTGAAACAATGCTGAATTTGAAAAGAGCTCTATGCCAAACTGATGCAGTGAATTTTTTGAAGTACATATCCAATGCTGGAGCTAAAAAGCATGACAAAGACAGACATCCTTAACTACTTTTATTTATGAAGCAACCAGAATGTGTATGTCCCCACGTATCTACTGCACATTTTTCAAAATGTGATTATACCACACTGTGAATGCATCTTTTTGACACATTTCATTGGTCTCCTTTGCTATTGGGTTGTTGCCAATGCAGTACAATAGCGTGGATCTGCTGTCTCTCATCCTAGCTTTCAGAAATGTGCTATGTTATTTCATATCTCCTTGGGCTCTAGACTCCCACCCCCATTGATTTGCACAGATGTTCAAGGAGAAAGAATTCTTGTTTTTCTTTAAATGAACGTCAAGGGCCTGGCAAAATCCTGTACTAAGAAATGCAGAAGTCAGCGCTCTTGAAAAGCTGGTTATTAGCTCACTTCCTTCTCTCTCCAGCTTTTCCACTTGCAAAAAAATAAATATGGAAACTATCACACTTGCCCAAGGTCTAAAAGAAGCCAGGAAGTGGGCAGTTTAAGGTCTAACAGGTAACTTTTCTCTGCTCCTGTCTGTTGAACGTTAAGGAACTGTTCGTTTCATGTATTTTAATGGTGCTGTGCTAGAGGCAGCTCTGTGATTTTCATTTTTTTGGCTATAACCCCTGGGGAGGTGAGGTCATGGGGAAATTCCAAGGGGTCAAGGAGACCAGAAACCTAGCTGGTCACATAACTGCTCAGTGGCACTGACGGAGACCAGCCCCAGCCCTGGTGCCAACCCCCATGACGCCCTATTTTCAGAGCCCTGCTGATCCTGCCAGTTTCTCCTGCCTTCCAAGCACGCTGTGCCAATGGCCACTGAGACCTCCCTAAGCAGCAGAAATGAAGTCAGTCTCCACACCCTGGTGTCTGGAGGACTCCCACTGAGAAAAGTCTCATTCACGGCTAATCAGAACTAGAATTCTCCTACCCCGCCCAACAAACAGCATAGCGCAGAAAAAGAACAGCCGGATTTCCATGGCCCTGCATCGTCAGTGACATCTTCTCTTTGTTACCATCCAGAAGAGAACTTCTCCACTGATATAGCTGCCAGACACCCCCAGGGCATGACAACATCTGCAGCCAGAGACTTATCGCAAAACAAAACAAAATCTCAGGCTGAATTTGATTTTCTGTGGGATAAGGAAGAAAATGAGATACAGAAATGTGACCGAACCTGTGTGCAGATACATGAGGGGCACAAGTCTGAATGGTCAACTCAAAAATGTCATTCACACTCTTGTGAGTTCAGAGTCTATCTCATTATGGGGGAGGGAGGTTTTAAGGAAATCATATAAATTAGACTAATCCATGAATATCTGACTGAATCTGCAGCATTAGAAAATAAAAATTTTAGGCCAAGGCAGGTGGATCATGAGCTCAAGAGATCGAGACCATCCTGGCCAACATGATGAAACCCCGTCTCTACTAAAAATACAAAAAGTAGCCGGGCGTTTGGCATGCGCCTGTAGTCCCAGCTACTTGGGAGGCTGAGGCGGAAGAATCACTTGAACCAGGGAGGTGGAGGTTGCAGTGAGCCGAGACTGTGCCACTGTGCTCCAGCCCGGCAACACAGCAAGACTCCATCTCAAATTAAAAAAAAAATTAAAATTAAAATTTTGCACAATTGTTTAACAGTGTAGCTCTGGTGTGATTACTGCCGTTACAGTAAGTTTTTAAACTGCCTTATTTTACACCTTAGTAAAATAAAATGGACTTACAGTTAAACAAGGCAAATTAACCACATGCCTGTTTCCACACCAAAAATCCTATAAAAATTACGGTAAACATACTTATTTTAAGAGGACCAAATACATACACACACACACACAAACACACACAGAGCAGCAGCAGGAACAAGAGCAGATGAGAGATTATACTGGCATATGGGTGATGGAAAGCGAGAGGGGTCTGTAATGATTTGTAT